CGAATTCTTAATTTCATAAACTGGTTTTAATATAATATTGCTTAATAGTTAATAATATTTCAGAAGTAAGAATTTTCATTTTACTAAACTATAATAACTTAATTTGCTTTAAAGCAAATGTCATAACTTATTAATTATCAGTTTTATATTGTAATATTTTATTGTTATACCCCTCTAGATCCCTCTAGATTTTAAATTAATTGTATATTTTACTTGAAAAAAAACACTTATGAGTTATGACAATAGTCTTTCTTTGATAGCATAACTATTATTAAGTTGTACCTACCTATTACATATTGTAATATGTTATAGCAGCCAAGTTATTTTATTTAAATTATTATTTAAATATCGAATACTCAATTATATTGAAAGACTAAACTATATTATAAAATAATGTGACTGGAGACAAAAACTATACATTTTCATTTTTATATACGTAAGCTAATCTATTACTTTAAATAAATTATTATTAGGTACACCTCAAAAAATTCTATCAYCATGTCATTTAGAAGCGATTAAATATATAATAAAAATAATTGTATCTATAATACCTAACACTTTTGGTGTCCTCACTGCTTACATAATATTTTAGGTACCTACCATAATTATTATAATTTGTTTGATATTTATACATATATTAGGTCGTACACACATTTGATATATGTACAAGGTCATATCAACAATACACAATACACATGAGGCATGAAATAATATAAAATTAGTTTCACTAATAACATAAAATATAATTTAATAGAACATAATATTATTTTATTTCAAATGTGGCAAGTTTGGTGGTAATTAGTTTTAAGAATGATTAGAGAAAAACTCGTTTAAAATCTATTTTAAGAATAATTTCCGGATCTCTTATAGGTTGTAATATTTGAAGAAAGTATCATGTTTTCTATGTAGGAACAAAAATAAAAATTCAAAAAATAGTAAAATATGCTCATATATTAAAATTCACGGTTTGAAAAAAATAATATTACCAACACTAAAGAATAAAAAGTGAAAATATATTGTTTTTTTATTTCATTTAATTAACATTATAATTTGTTCAGTATACTCCTAAGGTTAATGTGRCATACTATTCAATACAATATTAAGTTTAAAAAAAATGTAAGTGCGTGTAACCAAATTTTATAGAACTGTGTATCAATAATTATATAAAATTCAAGTCAAAACTTTTATATAGCATCACTGCATCAGTGAGGTAAGACAAGTTTCACACGTAATTTGTACCAATAGTTGTGGCATAATACTGGTATTTAACACTCCTCAAACAACTTATATATAGTTTAGATTTTTAAATAGGTAGTTTAAATTTTGTGCTTATTGCCTGTAATCCAAAAATCATTAACAGAGCACATTATAGTATATTTTTTAAATACTATAGAATTGTTGAGAAATTTGTTTGACTAATTTATTCATTACAAAWAGTTTTCATAATCTTGAACCCTATTTAATTTTTAAATATTTTATTACGAGAATATTTATTTTTATTTTTAAAACTATTTTCTATAATATATATTAATCATTAATTTCTATACATACAATTTCAAGAATGCACATAATGTTACAGTGATCAACAGTTTAATATAAATACGTATGTATAAATCGTGTTGGATAGTCCATTATACGCTATCCTATACTATATAGACAGCAGCTGATATTGTTTACCAAGGCAAACGAGAAACCAAATTATTCAACCAACTTTATACTGTTCATGCGCAATGTTAAACTAAACATATGGGTATTATAAATATACTAGTTATACGCCCGGCATTTATCTAATCTTAATATTTTWTTTAGTAGCACATTAACCGTAAACACAGAAACATCGTTTTAAAATTGATGCATAATATAATAATATATATACTATAATATCATTGATAAATATAAAAATTCGTATACCTAGCTTATGAATTATTATTAAAATGTGATTAAAAGCAGTGAAACTCATTTTTAATTATTTATTAGGTTTTTCATATTTTTTTCAAATCAAACAATGAATATTTTTTTAAGTTTACTTTGGATATTTGTTTTTCCAATTTTTACTAAAGCTGATTTGAAATGTATGTTTTATAAATTTAAAAATACTAGTTCTTTGTTATTATAAATAACATAATATAACTTTTCAAAATGCATATTATTCTAGACAAAGTTTGTGTGGTTACGAGTAACGGAGGAAATGACAAAACCCGAGATTATTGTCCTCCTTTAAGTATAGAAAAATCTAGTCAAGTCGAATGTGTATTCGCAACTGATAAGTAAGTGACACATTTAAAATTATTTAGCATCATAAAAATAATGTATTATATAAAATAATTTTTAATAAATTATATTATAATAGAAACGAAAAACTACAATTGCTTTTTAATCAACCGTTAGTAGATAAACATAATGGTTATCAATTTTATAGGGAATTTTTATTTTTTTATAAGGATTAAAGGATTAGACAAGTTTAGTCAATTAACTTGTTCAAGAGAAACTATATACCATTTAATTTTGCACAATTGCATCAGTATTTACTATTTGATGTTGAATTTATGAAAGGAATTAAATAATATTTAAGTATAGTTTATTAAATAGCTGAATTTTTAAAAAGAAGAAAAAGAACAGATAYTTACACATAGGTAATATACTTCCTAGCATAGTTAATAATGGGTGTAAAATAAAACAATATCAGCCTAATAAATCAATTTAGTAACATATAATCTACGCAAGGCTAATTTATTTTCAGTAGCCTAAGACAACAATATTTGCATATTTTTCTTTCTATTGTACGTAAATTATTTTTATAATTATTAATTATTATGTCAGAGGTTGACAACAGCTATCAGATCTGAAATACATTAATATCATTTACGTTCCAATTTCTGAATACTTCTGATGAGGACGGAAACACGGGAAATACGACTAAGTAATTAATTGGACAAATATCTAGTATTAACTAATATCAATATAAATAATAGGTAGGTATACCTGCATGATTATAGTCCTAAGTAATTATAATTATACAAAATTATACAAAACGTTATCCGGATGAAATCTGTTTTATTAATTATTATTTTTTTAAGTGGTTCTTTTAAATAGTTTTTTTTTTAAATAATTATATTATACGTATTCCAGTATTTTGTTGAGTTACCTAAATATCTCAGATAGTTAGATGTTAATGTATGAAAAACAGTAAATGTTTTTTTATTTGTTTATAACTTGATATTATATTTCTTGTTAAATACGGTCATAAAAAATATATAACTTGTTACGGAATATTATCAGACTACAGAAACGGTCCTTTTCAGGACCACCAACCAACCACAGACCACCATTTAAGTAATCACAGTAACAANCTTATAAATTATTTGAGAGGTCTGACTCTCCTTGGTATTTGTACCTCTATCAAAAACATTGGCAATTTTTAGCGTACCAACACATACCAAAATGAAAAATTTATCCCTGACCATAGTTGCAAAATATTATCAGTACGTATAATAATAAGATAATACTTTGTAGATTACATTGTATAAGAAAAATTCTTAATGGAGAAGCAGATTTTGGAGTGTTTCAAGTAGAAGAAATATCATATGCAACTCAGTGGAATGACTATTTAAGCATCACAAATGAAATTCGTTTATTTGAAAATGGTATATTATTTATATTTGTGCAATTACATTTTCATATTATTAAAATATATAACAAATAACCATATTATATATTTATATATTTGACAATTTTTTTTATTTAAACGATTCAATATTAAAAATGTATAAAGGTAAACATTCTTGTAAGGTACTTACATAGGTAAGTATTTAAAGTTAAATGCATGGAGTTATTAGAAAATATCTGATCAAATACTTTTTTTTAAATATTTTTTTCCATCTTTATAACCCAAATACAATCTATTATATGGTACTTACATGTATAATTAACAAATATATCAAAATTAATTTAAATAAAATGTATTTCATTTAAACTTTTAATAAAAAAAGAAAGGAATACAACATATATTACGTCATATTATCGATATTTTTAATTATTGTTACATTACTAAATAATTGATGGTAAAACATTTTCGTGATATTTAAGAATTTCTTAAAAAATTAAATTTAACACTTATTGAAAAAATTGTAACTAGGTATGTAATTTAGATTAATTATAGTGAGAAACCTTATATCAAACCAAAAACAAGAACAACAATTTTAGCCTATAAATTGCACAAAAAACCTTAAAAAAATTAAAATTTTCTATTTTTTATGAAATGCTAATATTTCTATTAGCATAAATTTATATTAGGTTCTACAAAAAAAAAATACATATATTTATAAAAAAAGGCTAGGTAAAAGGAAAAAGCCTCGGTAACGTGGACATCATTGGCTTATAATATATAATATATATTGATATTGATATTATCAAAAATTGTTTTTGTGTAAAAGATCTCGTTTTTACGAATTTATTGATATGTAGTTRTTTACTTTTGAACAAAGTACCATCTAAATCTAATATGCTACCAAAAACTACACTCAAAAAGTTTAGTGCATATTTACTTTTTATGTCTTCATAAGAGTCAGTAATCACATATCGTTATAAAATCAATAAATTCGTGATCCATTGCTTCAATAAAAGCTTAAAAAGGAAATTAGAACTGTTTATATGATGTATTTTACTATTAAAATCTGAAGCAATTTAAGAAATAAAAAATTAATCACAAAGTTTACGTTCTTAAAATGTATTATATGTGGCTAATTGATGAAGCGCGGTCGTACGCTCATTCTGCGCAAACACACTGAGTGTACGTACCGACCACAGTTGCTAGCTTCCGGATGGGTGACCACACATACACAAATACGAGTACGTATAACAATCTACCAATTTAAAACCTACAAACAAATACACAAAAACAACCCCTACCGTACTACACCCACACCAAATGTTTTATGTTCCCGCAAGTTCCACCAAAAATAAAAATAAAATAAAAAAATATATCACATTTTAATACAAAATTTGTTGAACTATAATTATTAATAAGGTTCAACATATAACATAAAATATAAACCAGAACTACTTTTAATTATTAATAAAATTATATCGGTATTATAGTATAATATTTTTTTAAATTGTTTTCAGAAAAATTTGATTATAACATGGTGGTGCTAATTAATGAAGATGCTGGCATTAAGAACTTAAACGATTTAAAAGGTAAACGTTTATGTCATCCAGGATTTTATGAAGGAGAACCAGGAAATGGATGGTCCACCTTAATATCACAAGTAAGCTAAATTATAACGTATATAGACATATAATATATAGTTATATATTACATACCTAATTTAAAATATTATTTTATACATCCTTATTTTTAATTTTTTTAAATTATTTATTTATTTCGTATTATATTATAAAACATTAAATATAGGAATACGTAACTTATATAATATTGTAAATAGATATTTTTTTTCATTATCATTATTATTATTTTAAAGCCACTATAGTGTACAACTATGATAATAACTTAACAGCAATTACAAAACAATACGAATTTATATTAACAATAGATTAATTCTTAATATTCTTATATACTATATTATAATTACAAAGCCTCTAATATAAATATAATTATCATTTTTATAGATGTTTTTTATTTGGTGTTTAAAATCAGCAAAGATTAACAGGAATATTAAGAGATTTAAGAGTGTTAAATAGAATTTGTCATTTAAGCCGCAGGCAGGATAGTTAAATAAAATATAAGGGAGGTCACAGATACACTAGTTCATTTAGATGAAGTGTACAAAACGGCGAGTCGTTTAGTCTAAGTTTGAAAGAATGACTAGGTAATAAGAAATGTCCTATACGTAAACAATTAAATTGAACAAGTGTGATCTTTGTAAGTCGAGGTTGTTAAACAAAGTTTTTTAATGATATCGAGTATTTTAAATCTACATCTTAAAGCTAATTCAGCCGGTAAATTATACCTATAGAAAGACCATGGATTACATATGTAGCATTTTAAAAATGGGATAATGCCAGATTGAGGTAGATGTTTAGAACTTTAAAAGAAAGACAAATTAGATGAGAGGTGGATTTAGACAAATTATCAGCTACTCCGTTGCCACGTATTCCAATGTAGCATGGAATCCAAAGAAAGTGAATGGTGTAGTTTGATTGATTGAGATTGAAAACTTGAGATTTAATTCGAAGAGCAAGAGGAAAGAAAGGTGAGAGTATATAGATAATTAAAACTACATATTTCAAAATTAAAGTATATTTAAAAAAAGGTATATCATACTAGTTTTAAATTTATAAATTTTTCCGATTTCTTAAATCTATTTATCACTAATTATGTGTAACAATTATCACCTTAAACTTAAACCAGTTTTTATTAATCACAATTCATAACTTAATAAATACATGAAGTTTTATTATAAATATTATATAAATAACAAAACTAGTATTATTAATTACATAAAGATTTAAGGAAATATAATTTTATAAGAATAAGCTTTTTACTTATTTTTAGTGTGAAGAGCTTAATAACCGTATTTAATTAATAATTACTTATGTACTACATGTATATTTTGTGATGTAATATAACATATTAACACAATATTATTCATTCAAGTATTTTGAGCGAGTTATTGTTCCACAAACATGCGATCCGCAATTAAGCCTAATAGAAAATCAATTAAAATCGCTTTCTGAATTTTTTGATGAATCTTGCAAACCCGGTCAATGGGATCCAAATCCTGACACGGATAATATACTAAGTAAGTAACTATAAACTTAATTATTCCAAAGGTGATGTATTTAATTTTAAATGTACTTGTACAGAAGACAAATATCCAAATTTGTGTGCGAATTGTAAGAACCCGTCAAAATGTAACGACAATGATCAATTTTGGGGAAGACAGGGTGCATTACAATGTTTAAGTGATTGTTTTGGGGATGTTAGTTGGGCAAGACTATCTGACGTTAGAGTACACTTTAAAGTATATAAAATATATTATTAGTGCTTTATATGTAGTTTAACACTACATGCATACATTTATTTATGTTTAAGGGTGACAGTACAAACGCTTGTAGTAAAATAAGTTTTYTATGTCCTAATGGTACTTTACAACCAATGGAAACTCCTAATCCATGCATTTGGATATCTCGACCTTGGCCAGCCGTAATTGCAAGAAAGTAAATATGAATGTTTTAAATGAATAAATAATACATTTATAAAAATAATTATAAAATGATTTCTAGTTCAATATCATTAAATATACAAAGAATGATAAACTACGTTAATACTGCTAAGGAATTAAAAAACGCAACTTCATGGCAGTGGGCCTTAAATAGTTTACTTCTATACTATTCTGAACCTATTTCATCTGATATCATTAGAAGTCCAAAAGAATATATTTTTTCAGCTCCTGGATATATGAAAGCTGAAGAAAAAGGACAATTGTGCAAAGGTCGTACATTTTCTATGTGTATTGAAACAATTACAGCCTTAAAAAAATGCCAAGCACTTTCAGATATATCAATAAGTTATGGTATACAACCAAAATTAAATTGTATAATTACTCCAAATTGTGGGAACAAATTAAAAGCTGGAGAAGTAGATATGATGATTTTAGATGCTGATAAAATTGCTTCTTTTAGAAGGTACAACAAAATGTTATTTTAACTAAAACTAAAAATTAAAATTAAAATAAATTACCTAATTTAATTTTTAGAAACTATGGTGTTTCAAAACCAATACTTTTTGCAACTTCACTTTATCACCATTTATATAGAAAAATGAGTGCAGTTATGTTGAGAACAAATATTGCAAAAGATCTTGAACAGCTGAGAAATAAAAAAGCCTGTTTTCCTTTGTATGATGGTTATGGTAAAACAAAAATCATAATATAATAAAATTGTCCAAACCATATGTAGTATTCAGAGAATACATTTTTCTTGTTGTTTTTTAGATTTCTTAGTTCCATTACTCCTGCATTTTATGTATGTTTCTAATTATACATCTAACAGCTCATCTATAAATACGTAAATATTTGGGTGCCCACTATAAAATCAATTGTTGAGTTTAAAATGAAAACTCTCGCAGCTGTTTGTAGTTCTATTTAAAGTAGTTGAAAATTGAGCCCATATACTTGGTGGAAAACTTGCTTCTGGGGAAATATAATTATCAAATACATAGTCCATAAACTCTTCAATTCTTTCATCAGCTGTTGGTTGAATGGCCAAAATGCATCCGCGTGGTCTCGGTAGACAAGAGCGAGTTGTGTGTGACGGTCGAACTCTTTTCGGTTATAAACTCTTTACTTGTGCAATCTATTGATAATTAATATACCACAATAGGGAATTAACTTGTACGTCCCTCTTAATGACCCAGGAATCATCTAGTACATACCTAATAATGACCCGGGAATCAACTAATACATAAAATAAGTCTCGGGAAACAACTCACCTACACCAATCGCCAATCACCATTCAATAACAATTAAATGCTCGATCGTGATAAAAAAAAAAAAACTATTTATTCAAAATTTTAAATTTACACAATAATGTTTTTAAAAAAATATTCTGCTTCTGGTTATACAGATAAAATTACTCTATATCATGATAAAAATAGTAATGATTAATTATTTTTTGAAATCTCGCAAAGATACAATTAATACTTCAAACTATAGAAATTTTTTTTATTAAATCACAACAATCCGTCAAAACATTTTTTAATTATTATTTAATTTTTTATTGTAATTTTTAGTTTGGAATTCTTTATTAATCACGCTCAAATTAGAAAATATTGAATTATTTCCGAATAATAAAACAATACAAAACTTCTTCAATGACAGTTGTGCTATTTTAAGTTCTAATCAAAACTTAATAAAAGAATGCGATTTTGATGGTAAAGTATAGTTCAAATAAAATAACCTACTAAACAAGTAAAAAATAAATTTCGTCTTCAGATATATTACCCGAAGATAGTAATAAAAACGGGATGTGGATTGAAACCCAAACACTTAGATGTATCATTGAAGGAGGAGGAGATGTAGCATTTATCAATACYCTTCACATTAATCAATATTTAGGTAAGTAAAAAATRTTTGAATGTTTTAATTTGATAAGATAATAAATTGTATTGTAATAATATTTGATGAGAGATATCTATACTTATAGTATAATATTATACTTACTTATTTTTAGATATTTTAAGATCACCACTAAACTTACCTAACAACTTTAACGTGCATAATTTTTCAACTATTTGTAATCAAAAAATCCATACCTCAGTTGATTGTCCATTATCATGGTCTTACTTTGGACATGTGAGTTTATATAAATTGAATTTATACGTATATATTCTCATTAAGTTAACAAAGTATAAGATATTGTCTATTAAAAATGAAGTAAAAGAAAATATGTAAAATAGCTTTATAAGCTTACAAGACATTTTTAATATCTTGTATAAGTACCCCAGAGGCAGTCATGTAAAGTAGATACTCGAATAAAATAATTCAATTAATTTTTAAGTAATCATTACGTATTTTAAATACTTTTCAAAAAAGTAGCTGGACAAAGTACTTTAATTACTTTCTCTAAATATCTATATTTAAAATCATATACTTATTTTAAACACTCATATTCTATTTAGTAAATATATTTCCTATTTTAATTTTTGTTACATAAAATAAAAATGTTAGAATTTAATTATAATAATAATAAGCTATGAATTACACTCAACCGAAAATTCAAATATTTTGACAAAAAAATAAGAAAAGTATTTTATAGTAAAAYCAATAATAATGCAATGTAAAATGCTCAATAGAATATTATAAGGAAAGTAAAATCTAGATTGAAACAGTTGATTTATATAAGGTAAAAAAAAATATTTATAAAAGTTGAAAGTATTGAAAATACTGTACAGTAGTATAATGTACTTGCATACTCTTGAAAGGTGTATTTTACAAGACTGACCGTAAGTGGAGGCAAAACGAGCACATCCTTTCTCGAGTCTTAACAAAGACGTGTATCTATACCTATTTGGTTTGCAATAAATTGAACAACAGTGAAGACTTAAGTTTTCATTTGACGTTTAATTAGTATAGAATTCTGATGTATTTTACAAAGAACCTAGTTTCATTATACCTTACTTTTAGGTATTTTATTTAAAAAACATTTAATACTTTACATTATTTTTTTATTTTTCATGATAGGTACCTAACTTTTATATAAAATTGTATTATATTAATTTTAAAAAAAGTATAGTTTATACTTGTATTCAGAGCCCCACAAGAGGGGGTCAGAAGGACYCATGGTGTACTGGGGCCCGGAGTTCATGTAAATAATTACTCCGGTGTCCGGATTTAGTTCTGTACAGGGACAAAAATATTATGCGGGGGGGGGATAATACAAGCATGTATTATTCTACCTATAATATACATTTAAAAATATATAGGACACAGCTATAATAAAAGTTTAATTATTCGAGCATCTATCATTATAGCTAGATTTAAAATTAAAATATCGAATTTTCACATTTGACTTGAATTTAATTTATAAATATAAAATAAATGTATAGGTGATATAGTCAAAATATATAAAGTAAACTATATTCTATGTTAATAGATATTAGCAAAACCAAATATATCCTCATTTTCAAAAAAAGAAATGACTTCATTATTAATGAACATGGATATGACTTTTGGACGAACATCCAAGTCAAATAATCGTGTTAATAATCTATTACCACCAGTTTTCTCTATGTATGGACCATTTGATGATTTTGCTGATCCAATGTTTCCGGTAAAATAAATAATCAAAATACATAACTAAAAACATTTTGCTGAATTTGTTATGTATATTATAATCATTTATTAATAGTAAAAAATATTTTTATAACGTACAGGTGGATACAGAACAGTTGGAAACCATTAAACAGTTAAAGGAACACCAAACGCCGATTGCGCCACAGTACGAATCAAACATTCATATTTTAAATGATCTGAAACCTACTGTAAGTTCTAGCGTCTCGATAATGCCATTTTCTTTACTAAAGTTACTTATATTTTATAAGTTATTATTAAAATATTGTGTGTAATATATAATACTCATTACCAAAAAATAAATATATATATATATATAAAGGTACCTTATTAATTTGAAATAAAATTGTGACACATGTATTTTAATTAATGTAATTACTAATTATACTTTTAAAACAAATTGTATACATTGGTAAATAGATACTGAAATAGATCAATTAAATAAATAAAAGGTATTGATAGTCTATGCCATTGTAAGAAAACATTTTTAATTTTCTATATAATATAACGGTACTGTTAAATATCAGAAGTAGGTTCTTATAACAATATAGGTAAGTACAATAAAATAAATAGCTATAGTTCCATATGCCTAAATTTTTTTTCAATTTGTTTTAACATGCAAATATGCAATGAAATTAAACATTTTTTATTTATATTTTTGGACTATAAAGTTTTAAAATTATTTTCTAACTATTACAATTTATGATTTATGATTATATTATAGAAATTAGAATTGATGTTCTTTAATTTGTTTTTTACTAGAGAAAACAAGAATATGTACAATCAGTAATATAGTACAGTTTATACAATTGTAGAATGGAGGGGGGGTACAAGTATACTAGACTTAACAGCGTGAAAAAAAGGGGCCTGATAATCATATTTACTTCGTAATTCTAGGCTGTTTTTTYTTCTTCTTAAATGTTGAGATCTATGCCAATTACGATTAAGACGCTGTGGTGGGTTATCAGTAAATTTAAGGGAGGAGAGGTTTAATATCAATGTTATTCTATATTCTGTTACACGGAAATGCTTTTCAATATGTACTATTGAATTTAATATCAATTCTGTCAACCAAATTTTAGAACAYTGAAGATTATAAAGAAATTATGTCGATTTAAACAATTTATAAAATTATAATATAAATGGTAAACGCATGCATTTTAATGACGTATCATCGAGCAATTTCTTGCACATTACCTATATTCATCCATACCATATAATAGTCACGTAGATAATTTGAGGCCATCATAATTAGGGTAGGTACAATTACATAATTGTATCAATTACTAAATGGCTTATGCCCAATTCACAGCTCAAGATTTAAAAAAAAAAAACAGTTTTCAATGGTTTTAAAAAAAATGCCAAACTCGCTGACGACAATGATGATAAGGCTAAGTATTTCTACTATCAAGTCTTAGGTATAAAAATTGATTGTTGTAAATTTATCTTATTGTAAAATACTGATAGATACCTATAACGAGATAATTATAAATTTACATCAGTCGTCGATCAACAGAGTGGCGCAACAAAAATGCGATTTTCGTATCCAACTATATTTAGGAAAATCGCCCTTTTCGCTGGCCCAATCTGTGTACCTACATAAGTAAGTATCTATAATTCAAATAAATAAAAAATTAACAGAAAAGTCCACTGCGGTTTTAAAATAAAAATTATGATTTCAGTTTGTAACAGAATAACAGTAAAAATGTAACCACGTTAACAGGTGAACTTAAGCATTAGCTAAGCAAGGGAGTGCCGGGGGCCACAATATAATATACTAATATATTATATTTAATATATTAATATTATATAAATTACATTATATTTAATTTTGGTACTTTTTGGTTATCGTACCCCAACGGTCATCGGCCGGCCTTTATTATAATTTTTTTTGTATTGATGTTTTATTATACTTTACTGGTATTCATATTTTATTATAATTTCTTTGTCTATTTATAATTGAAGATAATATTACCTAAATTAATTATGTAATTTACTATAAAAATCTGTTTCTTAAAAAAATAAAGATAAGTTTAAAAATATGTAAATAACCAAATATATTTATATAACCTAGATAGGTACATAAATTGAATACCTACCTATTTTAATACACGTAAAACTATTGTTTGAAGTTTAATGTTCTAAAAAATTAAAATGTAGCAATCGTAGACTATTGTATGACTGTATAGTACATAATATAATTAACCAAAGTCAAAATGAACACGTACAATAAATATTTTTTAAATTCACCGGTATTTATTAATAATTAACCGTGTCAACTAAAGCGGGATTTACGCATCGATATTAAAGAATATTAATATTTATGGATTTACGACAGCTACGCCGTGTCGTGTCGTGCGATGCCATGGTAACTATGGTTACAAGTTACAACTGGTAACCATATTGGTTGAAACATTGAGCTATTAATTCTTGGTATACTTTGTTTCAACTTGATTATTACACGTTACCAGAAAAGTAATGTCCAAACCCCAAACACTTATTTGATATTTTGATTTACAGTATTTACACAAAACACGATAATATGCAGATTTATTGTATATTTGTATCCGGCTTAGGGCCAGTTGTACCGTCTACGGTTAAACTTCGATTACGCTTAATCAGCTGATAACAGATATTTAACCRTGCAAAWTYGGCCRATTAAACTYCGGTTAACTTTAATCAGAGACGGTACAACTGGCCCTTAATGGTTAAAATAGAGTGGTAAATGGTAATGTACTAATGTTCTGTGATAGTGGTGACATCAAATCGTGATGGTTGGTACCGCGGTATATAAGTAACGGTTGCCAAGCAATGACGTGGGAGGGGAAAATTAAATAGAAATCGTCTGGTTAATTTGCTTTAAAAAAAAAAGTAAATAATTTTAAAAAACCAGGGCATAAGCGAATACACATAAAACGAGGTGTATTTGAAGTCACAAACAATAATTTTATAACATAATGATATAAGAACGTTATGCGCGCCTCGAAATATGAATAAATGAGTTATGGTGACTGCCGACTGGACGGTGAGGACGGTGAGGTCGAGACTCGACAAGGCGTTGAGTCTGTGTGGCTGGCTGGGCACACGTCCGACGTCGTCGGCGGACGCAGACTAGAATACGGGATATTGTTCTCGTCCGGTGATGGTCACACTGTAATGACAACAACCCGTCAACCTGAAACCCATTCGTGTCGCGAAAAATTCTGAAAAACTCGGAACTCTCCGTCTCTCACTCTCTCATGCTAACTGTGAAAATGATTTTGGCTGACTGATYTTTGCCAATCGCCGCCGTATTGTTTATATCGTAGTTTTATGTACGTGTAAATCCGTGTACACTGTAGTAGTTTTCGCGCACACAAACCGTCCCTGCCTCCCTGGTCATAATATCATTAACAATAATATTATTCTTGTAGTCAATTTTTGTTTTTGTTTGTTATAGTTTAATAATATTGTTTTGTTTTTCCGTGTTTAATATAGTTTTATACATTTCTTAGCAATTTTTCTCTTTCTCCAGTTCGTTTTATTTATTATCCGCCGCCGCACGCTATCATTTCGCAGACGACAACAGTACCGTGTCGCGCTGCCTCGAGCCAGTGGGTGTTAGCTGTGTGCGCGCGCGTGTATCGTGTATTAATTATATGTTTGTCGGGTTTCTGTGTGTAACGCATCGGTGTAATTTATCATTTTTGATCACATAAATCGGCGACGACAACTACCAACACTTTCAGCGGCCGCCAATCGAACACCGATGTTGTCGCAAGAATGAGCGTTGCTGTTTGTTCAATGTGGCTCCCAGTCAAATGGATAGGGACAATGTGACTGCTATGGAAACTGATAAAATAGTCGATGACGATATCGGTAGTCCTCAGGTAAATACTTAAACTCCATTCAGTTACATTAACTCCCATCTTAACATCGGAATCATGCCATCATTTTGTCATTCAGTTTCCCCTTTCACCTGATAAAACAGGTCCAACAGATCTCTAATATAGTGGCTGTTCAATGTAGTAGGTACTAAAGTTATCAAAAATTGTATTGTGCACAGTAATGTTGAAAAATTGTGAATTGACTATGTTATAACAGTCTACTATTACCTACCTTTAGACTTACTGTCCAATAGGTAGTAGGTACCTAGATATTTCAATAGGTATTTTTTTTCTCTTTCAAAAATTGTTCTATTATAAGATTTAACACACGCTACCTACTGCTACAAGCTGGAATATAAGTAAATATGTACTTTTGAGTCACTTACAGACTTAAAATAATTTCTTAATTTAAAATGGGAACCTTTTGAATAATTTTAAGGTGTAGGTATTTATCTAKTAAGTCAACAAAAAACTTATGATCTCCTTTGCTGGTTAACATAATGTATTTAAGTAGGATATAAGTTAGGACATAAGTATATTATAGAATACAATTAAATAGAACCTTTACCTGAATGGTTTATTCCTTGAATTATGTATGAAGGTAATACTCACTAATACTACTTTTAAATAACTATGTATCTACCATCAAATAGTATGTTCTTGAATTATTTGCTTTCAACAAGTGAATGCATGTTTAACACATACCCTAAATAATGTTATATATTAACTTAAAATAATTACATTATCACTCTATGTATACTCAATAATTTATTCAAGTGTAATAATTGTAATGATTAGTAATCATTGGTAATCATTAGTTATTTAAAGTTGGCTAGATCTAAATTCAATAATAATTTGTTATTTAAATTATTCGGTTGGTATTCCTTGTTTAGCGCCAATTAATGGTTATAGAAAATCAAAGTATGCCTATAACATAATTTAGTTAAAGATAGGGTATTGAAGATGTATCATTATAAAGTGAATAAATAAAGACAATTGGTTTACAATAAGCTATTTATACGTTATAACAAGTAATCCATGCACCTGTTGTATGATTTTAAGATGTTTATTATGTAATAAATGTTTCCTTGGGTTTGCTCATGTCTGTGCTAAGTATTGAACTAACTGCCTGCGTTAGTGTGTCCTGAATAGTGTTGAGTGTAATTTTATGTTTTTGTATTTACCTAGGTAGTACTCGTTTAGTTTATGTATAGAATATTGAAATATTTGTATAGGTACCTATGTAATGTCTGTTGAACCTAATAGTTAGGGCCCTGATTTAAATGCACTTAAAACCATACAAATATGCTCTAAAAAGTAGCCAAAAAGTCCTTAAAAAATGCATTTTACCTCAAAAATGACCTTAGAAATGCCATTTATATTTATTTTTTAAACAATTTATTATTTTAATTTGAAATTTATTATAAA